GTAATATACTGTTTGAAGACACGTTGCATCATCAAAATAAGTTCATCGTAAGTAATTTCCTCATTATGTATTGGGATTCGTCGCAAGTCATGTCCAAGTTGAGCTTTGATAATAAGTTTCCCAGAGAGATCCATGCTAAAACGCTGCAGCCGAATTTCGACCTTATCCGTGGTATTGATACGTCAGCAGCCAATACCTGGCCTCAATAATCCAGACAGGTGCGGCCACATGTCCAATACTCAATGTACTGTTAAATTCAATAATCCGTGTGATTTTGTGAATCTCCATAATGGAAACCCAAATATATAATCAAATTCACCTTCTTTCAACACAGGAAACAGTCAAATATAAATATGGGAAAATCGTCAAGCGTTGATAAATTTTCGTAATCTTTTTTTTGTAGGGTCAAAGAAATGCGACGGAGTACTATCCAGATCATCTACCAGACTGAACCTTTCCTACTTTACGTTGTAGAATATCAAAAGCTTGGCAGTTTAACGAAATCGTTGTTCTCGATGGTGATTAAAGCGAATTGATAATTTACATGCCATAGACAGGCACATGAGGCAGTGGTCCAACTTAGTGCTACTATAATCTACCTTACGGATATGTGTTGTGATCCACTGATGGTATCAATTGTATCCAAAAACCAAGAAAAACAATTTATCTATTCACCACGACAGGACAACTCAGATAGGCCAAGAACGGTGCGGTGAAGCTTTGACTTAAGTTACGAAGTAACATCATTACTGTCAAACTCAAGCGAACCACAGTCATCGGCTTAGATTACCTAGACTGAAGATCTAAATAGATGTAGCGGTAAATAAATCCCAAACATAAATGGCTCTGTATGTCTTCGACATTGAGGCTGGCCTCATTAGTTTTAATGTACTCACCTAGCTGAAGGCGCTCGGTCACGCATCCGCACCAGATCACAAGTGGGTACGTCGTGCTATGCATCCCTTGCAACTGTTAGCCAGCTTAGACCAAGCGCTTCTCAATATATCGACAGCCTTTCAAATATTTCTTCAAACCCCTTTATTTCTGACTTCTGATTTGACTGGGTTGGTATACTTCCATTATAGGGGTGTTGCTAACAAAGGTGTCGTCGAACTCCGAATACCTGTGACCCTTTTACAGCTTTCGACCCTCAAATAGATTTTCTTCCTCATTGAGTCACACAAAACTTTTAGGTGTCAAGGAAATTCTGAGATTCACAACTCTGTGTTCCGTAACATATCAGCAGTTGAAGATCACAAAGCCCGTTAAACCAGAGGTCCGGAATGAGAGAGTTCAGACATATATTTGGATAAAGTCTAACTTAACTGGTTCTCATAAGAGACCCTCAACATGGTGTAGACAAACATGATTTGATCTGGGTGCCTGACAGAAAGTCCTCAGTTAGGGGTCTGCTTAGTAAAACTAACCAGGTCCACATCAATGTCAAAGACTGATAAAGTTTTATTTTTGAGATTTATTTGATGGCACAATTCACCTCCTTCCTATCGGGGTGATGATGACCTTAAGACATGATCATCCAGATGTTTAAGTCCAGAGGACTTGTTGTTAGTAAACACTCTTCTGACGGCTTTCTAAGCCCAACAGCATCTGGTCGTCCTTTCCCAAACTTAGGAGTCTTAGAGTGCATGGTAAAAAAGATACGTAACGAAAAGTTCGGTCCATCGTATTCGTCTTCAGTTTGTCATCTTTTCCAGTCATCCTGGAATGGGAGAAAAAAAAAGTGTAACTGCGTGTCAAATGAACCTATGCTAATACAGGTAAGAAAAGCTTGGGAAAAAATCACCATGTATACCATGCGGTAGCATAAAATGTTACATGCACAGGAAGTTTGATTTCGTGGTTTCTTATTCAAAACCGTGTGTTCAAGCATACTTTAAAATATTATTTTTTTGGTTTATTGACACGGTAAGATTTAAAAATACGACCAATTATCTGCAAAACAAGAGGAAAATGAATAAGGTTCGAAAATGTCCTTCACGCGGCAGTCATTTAGCTGTCCTGCGAGCGTCAGTACGTTGATATCATATATGTGTCAAGAATGAAGTTAATCTTGTTCTGGAGAAGTGCATATGTTTTAGCTTTCATTAACCTCCACAAATTTCCGTCTACGATTCAATTTCCAGAGAATAGTCTTACAGGATAAGGATGCATTCAGGTTAGTGGATCATTTGGTTACGGTTTGGCGTTATTCTCTTAACAGCGTGACGACATAATCTTTGAAGTTTGAGCACGGTTATTATTGTCTTGATTTAAATACAATGATCTATACTGACTAGGCTAAAAAACTAATAGTCCTACTCCAATATATTTCATTAGTCGCGATATGATTGTTTAATCTATGTGATCTTGTGTTGGAGTCAAATAATTTTCTGCTGTACCCTGACCTGTCAAGTATGGTCGGTGAAAAGGGTGAATTCGCGGCCTTCGATATAGTGTTGAAAATGCCGTACAGCACAATACATAGCTAGGAGTTCCCTACCGAATGTGCTGTGCCTCGATTCAGTGTCTAGCAACCGTCTAGAGAAAAATGCCAAAGGTTGCCAGGAGTGGTTAACCCATTGTTGTAAGACTGCTCCAATTGCTGTGTCGGATGCGTCTACTGCGACACCAGTGGGCGCTTCAGTGCCCTGATGAACAAGCATTGTTGCTTGAGTGATAACTTCCTTAACCGTGGAGAATGCTTTACGCGCGGAATCATCCTGATTGATGGATTTCGCATTTACACGAAGTTGGTCGGTAAGAGGTTTCATAAGTAACGCGCATTTCGGTGTGTATCATCTGTAGAAACTTACCAGACCGTTAAACGTGCGCAATTGCTTGATGGTGGTCGGTTCTGGGTAATCCAGAATGGCCGCCACTTTTCTTCTAAGGGGACGGCTACCTTGCGTATCGATAGTGTGTCCTAGGAAGTCTAAGGAGTCAGTTCCGATTTTGCATTTCTGAAAGTTAACAGTAATGTCATGTGTTTTTAGTCGGTCGAAAACAAGGTCCAGATGCTAGAGATGTGATTCTTTGTCCGAACTTGCTATTAGGCAGTCATCAACATACACATTTACGAAGTTGAGACCTCGAAAAACGTCATCTATGAACCTTTGGAAAGTCTGTGCCGCGTTTCTCAGACCGAAAGGCATTCGCAAAAATTCATATAGTCCGAAGGGCGTTATAATAGCGGTTTTTGGAATGTATTCAGTGGCCATAGGAATTTGGTTATAAGCTTTTACCAAGTCGATTTTCGAAAAGACAATTGTACCTTTCAAGAAAGCTGTCAAATCGTGGATTTCGGGATATCGTCAGTGGCCATAGAGATTTGGTGATACCATTATTTACCGCTACACCTGTACTAGTATAGGTTCATTTGACACGCAGTTACACTTTTTTTTTCTCCCATTCCAGGATGACTGGAAAAGATGACAAACTGAAGACGAATACGATGGACCGAACTTTTCGTTACGTATCTTTTTTACCATGCACTCTAAGACTCCTAAGTTTGGGAAAGGACGACCAGATGCTGTTGGGCTTAGAAAGCCGTCAGAAGAGTGTTTACTAACAACAAGTCCTCTGGACTTAAACATCTGGATGATCATGTCTTAAGGTCATCATCACCCCGATAGGAAGGAGGTGAATTGTGCCATCAAATAAATCTCAAAAATAAAACTTTATCAGTCTTTGACATTGATGTGGACCTGGTTAGTTTTACTAAGCAGACCCCTAACTGAGGACTTTCTGTCAGGCACCCAGATCAAATCATGTTTGTCTACACCATGTTGAGGGTCTCTTATGAGAACCAGTTAAGTTAGACTTTATCCAAATATATGTCTGAACTCTCTCATTCCGGACCTCTGGTTTAACGGGCTTTGTGATCTTCAACTGCTGATATGTTACGGAACACAGAGTTGTGAATCTCAGAATTTCCTTGACACCTAAAAGTTTTGTGTGACTCAATGAGGAAGAAAATCTATTTGAGGGTCGAAAGCTGTAAAAGGGTCACAGGTATTCGGAGTTCGACGACACCTTTGTTAGCAACACCCCTATAATGGAAGTATACCAACCCAGTCAAATCAGAAGTCAGAAATAAAGGGGTTTGAAGAAATATTTGAAAGGCTGTCGATATATTGAGAAGCGCTTGGTCTAAGCTGGCTAACAGTTGCAAGGGATGCATAGCACGACGTACCCACTTGTGATCTGGTGCGGATGCGTGACCGAGCGCCTTCAGCTAGGTGAGTACATTAAAACTAATGAGGCCAGCCTCAATGTCGAAGACATACAGAGCCATTTATGTTTGGGATTTATTTACCGCTACATCTATTTAGATCTTCAGTCTAGGTAATCTAAGCCGATGACTGTGGTTCGCTTGAGTTTGACAGTAATGATGTTACTTCGTAACTTAAGTCAAAGCTTCACCGCACCGTTCTTGGCCTATCTGAGTTGTCCTGTCGTGGTGAATAGATAAATTGTTTTTCTTGGTTTTTGGATACAATTGATACCATCAGTGGATCACAACACATATCCGTAAGGTAGATTATAGTAGCACTAAGTTGGACCACTGCCTCATGTGCCTGTCTATGGCATGTAAATTATCAATTCGCTTTAATCACCATCGAGAACAACGATTTCGTTAAACTGCCAAGCTTTTGATATTCTACAACGTAAAGTAGGAAAGGTTCAGTCTGGTAGATGATCTGGATAGTACTCCGTCGCATTTCTTTGACCCTACAAAAAAAAGATTACGAAAATTTATCAACGCTTGACGATTTTCCCATATTTATATTTGACTGTTTCCTGTGTTGAAAGAAGGTGAATTTGATTATATATTTGGGTTTCCATTATGGAGATTCACAAAATCACACGGATTATTGAATTTAACAGTACATTGAGTATTGGACATGTGGCCGCACCTGTCTGGATTATTGAGGCCAGGTATTGGCTGCTGACGTATCAATACCACGGATAAGGTCGAAATTCGGCTGCAGCGTTTTAGCATGGATCTCTCTGGGAAACTTATTATCAAAGCTCAACTTGGACATGACTTGCGACGAATCCCAATACATAATGAGGAAATTACTTACGATGAACTTATTTTGATGATGCAACGTGTCTTCAAACAGTATATTACAAAGGAAGATGAATTATTGGTAAAATATAAAGACGAAGGTGAGTGCAAACTTCTCATGTTCACCCTTCAGATGGGGACTTTATAACGATTGAGGATGAATCTGAGCTATCCCTTGCCATACAGTCCAGCAAGGTGCTACAAATTAAAATCTTCGGTACGTTTCGTTCCGGTCAAAGTTACCTTAATAACTCACATATTGGTCTTAAAGCTCTGATTTTCACATCCTTTTTCTGAAAAATGAGGCCATCATACATAAATGTTTTCAGGACCAGGACCCCATTAAGCTAGACGCATGAAATAACTACGTCACAGTAATCTTGTTTCCTCACAATTCTGCCACACAGTGCTCGTTTTGAACTACCCATTATTCTTTTAATTCAGACTTTGTGGTCTAGAAAGGACCCAAATACATCGAATTTCTGTTGTAGTCGCAACAGAATAACTTTCTGTATCCTAACGTCTGCTTTATATTCTATGAAAAGGATTGGATGTCTCTACTGTTGTTAAAGTAGTTGCGTTATAACAGAATTAGTAGATTTGCTACGACACTTCTCGGAAAAAGGAGTTATTTTCCTCATAAGGAACTAATGTAGTACTTATTCTAATCATTCTAATACATACAATCCATCTAAAAATGTCGACGTCTTCCGGATTTCATAGAAAAAGTGATTTTCAGACGAGGCCTAACTATCATCATGTTGATACGTAATTTTCCTCATTATTTGGGATGGTGTCCACTCAGATTAGAGTTCCTGACTTAATGTTATCGTTTAAAGCCTACATAGTCGTTTATTCCTTTCTCAGTCGAAGGCGTCTACGCGGACGCTGACTTGAGAGGAGGAATTCGTTTATTTATTTGAACACAAATATTGGTACAAGGGGCACCAGATATTTATGCGCCACACAAAACTATGAGTATGGGAAGAGATAAAAAGTGCGTATAAGAAAAACAGAAAAGAACAGACTAGTGTAAGGCAGTGTAGTAATAATAATAATAATCATGGGGGAAACGGAAAGGTACAACTAGAAGGATTCTTTCAGCTAAGGAAGATACAACCACTTTTCATGAAGAAAGTAAAAGAAGTTTACAGCAGGATTGCTACTGGCTTCTATTCTGAGCCATATCTGATAGCGTCTCTAGCCACTGTGTTGCACCATCTCTCGGGCCTCAGCCAGGGAGTCATGAAGGACCAACAGAAGCCAGCCCTTTACAGCTTTCTTTCATACCACGACACCATGTCATACACTGACCACCTCACGCCACCACCAGCACTTATGGGGCTACCTAGATACACGAACTTCTCGACTGCTTCTATCTGCTCACCATCCAGAGTGAGTATAGGATTAGAATCCTGCCAGTTGAGGAGAGAAAAGTGGTTTTTCGTATACGAGTTTCAGTGCATTTGTATTTTCATGAGAGTACCCGTATATTCTAAGCGTTTATGGGTACTACGTCCAAGACTTGAGTATTTGTAACAATATATGGTGGTTTAGTCGGGAAGTCATTCAAATCTGTCATTCAGTTAGGGGACAAACTCTCCTCTACCTGTTTTAGTTTAAGTAACCAAATATTCCAACTATTATAACCGTAGAGAGGAAAAATGAGAGTATTACCGTTCATGCGAATCAAGCTTATTATACAACAGCTAACGTGCGCAATCAAGATAACATGTAATATATCCGTCGTGTGCGTTTTTTACCTCTAGAGTCCTCATAGCCAGTTGTTTCTATGCCAATTACTTGCTTCCCCGAAGCTATCCTCAAATGCTGAATTCATTCCAATAGTTTCGAAACACTTAACATATCAGTTTAATATGTTTAACGTTCACATCCTTATATGACTTAAACAAAATACATGTTTATCTGGAATTCAAAAATACCGTGTTTTACTCCGTCTGTTAACTGAGAGAATGATAAGCGCTTGTCCAAGGATCATGAAGCATCACCTATCCAGTTTAGTTAGAATTAACGCTATATTGTGAAGCTCTAACTGTGTTAAGTGACTGGTTTCCCATTGACAATTGTCCATGTCTTATTAGATTTAAATATTCAGAAGGAATAAAAAGTAAACATGAAAATCAATTAATTTCTGTTGATTAATTGGGACTGAATTGTGTGTCTTCTAGTGTAACATATAATAAAGGTCATTACTCATTCCTAGACTTCAGAGTTACATCCAGTTCTAAGGAGAAAGTACCACTGGGACTGTCTTACGAAAACAGGTGTTTGAGAGATGTTACTCACTATTCGAAACCAATTGAAAGGTTTTATATGGCTTTTGTATTTGTCACTTCCTACTTCTTCTACTAGTGGACTTCCCAAGATGATTCTAAAGAAAGTGAATGATGATAGCGTTAACTTAAGATATAATGCGTTCCATATCACCAAACTATAAAGTAATATTACCTTACATGTAGGAACACTGATTTGGTTGGCAATAGGATGACACCGCTGAACATGTTAACTTTTGCATGAAGCTTAAATAGCTTCGACGAGTAGCGATCAGTATAGCGTGGGGCAATGACACAAACCAATTAAATAAACAGAACTCATTTATGCCTCTTAAATATTTTACGCATTTAAAAACCTTTACATAATATTCAAACACAAATTTTATGAGCTCTAAAATTTTACAATATCGCTATTATATTTAATTCGTATTTGCTGCCAACACAAGTCTCTGTGTAAACGAAAAGTTAAACAAACTAACATTTCTCGTTCTTGTAGAGCCATGAAATCAGTAATCTACGATTTTCCATCTTTGCATGTCTTTCGTTTTGAAAATGCTACTATTTCTTAGTGTAAAAGCTGCACTGTGAATATAGCATTCCAAATGTATTGCCAGTTGCGATAGTTGTTCGAAAAATACGGCTTAACTATCATTGATATGCAAGTAGTATCGTTCAAATGTTTAATTTCAGAATCCGACTGGTTACGTACGAAGTAAGGCATAAAACATCAACCGTAGTTTTTACTATCAGTTTATGTCACTTTTCGTCAAATGCATTTGACTCCCCCTTATGGCTGTTTCGTATATCCACTCTCTGAATAAACTAAGAATAAATGCTAAAACATGCACTTTCAAACTTCTATCGTGTTTGTCTCCCAATGGTTGGAGACTCTTGGTGACATGGCTCAGAATCGATCACAATGGCGTCGGTGTATACACTCTCTGTCTTCCTTTAAACTAAGAGATTAAAATCACTTCAAATCTTTCTTTCTAGGAACTAATTCTATTTTCCTATACTATCTCCTTATACACACTCTTTCTTCTATATATTACCACCACTGAATTAACTACTTCTATGAATCCGGTGTTCATCTTGTTGTGCTAATGCGGTATGGCAACTTGGACCGATGCATATACGTGCCTGGTCCTACGTTGCAGCTAACTGACTGACTGTGTTTGTCTCCCAGGTAAAAGTTGCAGTCCACCTTCCGTTATGCTTTCAGCCAATGTCCTTTTCTTTCCCGATTATTCAGAAAAATGGACATTAATGTCTAATATTTCTGTAAAAGAAATGTACTATTTCATAAGAAACGTGCTTTTCGCGTTAGTCACCTTTCATCTATTTCATTATAGGATTTCTTGGGCGTAAAGATAGGTTATATACTTAAATATCTTTGTTTTTTGGTTTAAATGATAGTATACTACGTCTAACTTATAGAAGTTGCTAGTTTCGGCTGAAGTTTTTAAACTTCACTCAACAAAAGTATTCTTTGTGTGAATGTGCCGTTAGTTTGAAAGCAACAAATACTTTGTCATCATAATTTAGAAAAAACCATCGGTTACCTTTTATGTGGTTGTTACACTTTTGTAGGTAGCTCGTGAATAAATGAGTGAACTTTATTGATTGAGTCACACCTAAACTGGACTATTTCAGTCTCCAGACCTTAACATTAATTCAGATTTCTAAATAGAAAGCTCGAACTTCTCCAGCCTAAATTCATTTATGCTTGATAGGTTTTGTTAATGGTTTTTTTTCAATTTTCATAGTTGTAAACAAACCTGAAATATTACAATGTACTGCTCCATTTAAAAACAGAAAAGACGATGAAACTAAAAAACTTGAATCAGGCGATACGTTTTCTTTAGTTTATGAACTTCAACGGCTTGGTAACCACATCCTAAACGTAGCTGATCGTATTCAAAAGACGCTTTTTGCCAACAATTCCATGGATATAGCTCTCACTAACTGTAATCGACTTGAAATAGTAAACAAAACAGACGTAAGTATTATCTGCTAACCATTTTCCACTCAGAAAAATTATTATTTTCAATTGGATATAATTTAATTGATCATGGTTAACACTTGGTAGTAGTTTACTGAGACTTATATGAGTCTAAACTGCTGTTGTCTTTTGCCTGAATCACATTCTCATTACTGTACTTTTGATGCTTTCGATAGGGTCCTCATGTCCACGTTTCTAAACCTACAGTCAAAATACCAGAAAACCAATCGAATGGTCGCGAACAATTTTATTGTGTACATCCATAACTCACGATAATATGTATAGGTGAAATATCAAGACTATCCTAAATAATAAGTTTTAATGCATACACAACTAGAACAGTTACAAGCCAATACTGTAATAGATTCTTGGTTAATCGATTGTAGTCTATGAGCGGCAAAAGTGATAACAATAGTCAATAGGTCAAAAAATAGCTCGATGTCAGGACTACACAAAAGTCCTACAAACTAAATTTTTAATAAATACAAATTATTAGTATATTGACTTATCGAGGAACAAAAGCAAATCAGATTTACTTTTGTCCTTGTTCAATCCTATCAACTGTTGCATGTATGGTTTAAGTGGTAACTTACGAATTTTGGCATCCTTACAATACAAAAGCCGATAATAATACCATATTGATGCGGTAATATTTTGTTGAGTTAAAAATGTCTTGAGAAACTTCATACTTACTTACTTACTTACGCCTGTTACTCCCAATGGAGCATAGGCCGCCGACCAGCATTCTCCAACCCACTCTGTCCTGGGCCTTCTTTTCAAGTTCCATCCAATTCTTGTTCATTTTTCTCATATCTATCTCCATTTCTCGGCGTAATGTATTCTTTGGTCTTCCTCTCCTCCTTCGACCTTGAGGGTTCCATATGAGGGCTTGTCTTGTGACGCAGTTCGGTGCTTTCCTCAATGTGTGTCCTATCCACTTCCAGCGCTTCTTCCTGATTTCTTCCTCCACTGGGATCTGATTTGTTCTCTCCCACAGTAGGTTGTTGCTAATAGTGTCCGGCCAACGGATCCGAAGTATTTTGCGTAGACAACTGTTAATAAACACCTGTATCTTTTGGACGATGGATTTCGTAGTTTTCCAGGTTTCCGCGCCATACAGTAGAACTGTCTTGACATTTGTATTGAAAATTCTGACTTTGGTGTTGGTTGCTAATTGTTTTGAGTCCCAGATATTCTTCAGTTGTAAATATGCTGCTCTTGCTTTGCCAATCCGTGCCTTCACATCTGCATCAGATCCACCGTGTTCATCGATGATACTGCCCAAATATGTAAAGGTTTTTACATCTTCCAAAGCTTCTCCGTCAATTGTGATTGGATTGGTGCATGCTGTGTTGTATCGAAGAATCTTGCTTTTCCCTTTGTGTATATTGAGACCTATTGCTGCTGAGGCTGCTGCTACACTGGTCGTCTTCTCCTGAATTTGTTGTTGCGTGTGCGATAGAAGAGCCAGATCATCTGCGAAGTCTAGATCATCCAATTGCATCCTAGTTGTCCACTGTATCCCGTGTTTCCCTTCAGATGTTGATGTCTTCATGATCCAGTCGATCACCAGGAGAAAGAGAAAGGGTGAGAGTAAGCAACCTTGCCTGACACCGGTCTTTACTTCGAACGACTTTGTCAACTGTCCTCCATGCACGATTTTGCAGTTTAATCCATCATAGGAATTCTGTATGATATTGACTATCTTCTGAGTCACGCCGTAGTGTCGAAGAAGCTTCCATAGGGTTGTTCTGTCCACGCTATCAAATGCTTTTTCGTAGTCGATGAAGTTGATATAGAGTGATGAATTCCATTCAATTGATTGTTCCACAATGATCCGTAGAGTTGCGATTTGGTCTGTGCACGATCTATCCTTACGGAATCCTGCCTGTTGGTCTCGAAGTTGGGCGTCTACGGAGTCCTTCATCCTGTTTAACAATACCCTATTGAAGACTTTTCCCGGTATTGAAAGAAGAGTGATTCCCCTGTAGTTGTCACAGTTGCTGAGATCGCCTTTCTTTGGTATTTTGACTAGAAGTCCTTCTTTCCAGTCTTTTGGTACCTGTTCCTCATCCCAGATCTTTTTGAAGAGAGTTTGGAGTATCCTTGCAGTTGCCGCTACGTCTGCTTTCAGTGCCTCTGCTGGAATGCTGTCTAGTCCTGCTGCTTTGCCACTCTTGATTTGTCTGATAGCCATGCTGATTTCTTCAATTGTCGGTGCGCCAACATCAATTGGGAGGTCCGTGAGTGCTGCTTCGATGTTGGGTGGGTTCAGTGGGGCTGGTCGGTTCAAGAGTTCTTTGAAGTGTTCTACCCACCTGTTTCGTTGTTCTTCAATGTTGGTGATTATCTTGCCTTCCTTGCTTTTCACTGGTCGTTCTGGATTACGGTGATTTCCGGAGAGTTTCTTTGTTGTTTCATACAGTTGTCTCATGTTTCCTTCTCTGGCAGCCTTTTCCGCCGTCATTGCCAAATCTTCCACATATTTACGTTTGTCAGTTCTGATGCTCCTTTTCACTTGCTTGTTTACTTCTGTGTATTCAGCTTGTGCCTTGACTTTTTCTGCTCTTGTTCGACTGGTATTGATTGCTACTTTCTTGTTCCTCCTTTCTTGAATCTTATCCAGTGTATCGACCGTGATCCAATCCTTGTGATGGTGCTTCTTTTGGCCCAGAACCTCATGACATGTTGAAGTGATTGCCTCTTTTATCTCTTTCCAGTTGCTCTCCATAGTAGTTCCTTCTCCATTGAGTAGATCATGAAAGGCTTGGAACTTATTGCTGAGGGTTATCTTGAATTTATTGAGTTTGTCATTATCCCGAAGAAGAGCCGTATTAAATTTTTGTGATATTGTCCTCCCCGTTGTCCAGTGCCTCTTGAGTTTCAATTTCATCTTGGCGACCAGCAAGTGATGATCTGATGCTATATCAGCTCCTCTCTTTGTTCTCACGTCCTCCATCGTCCTCCTGAACTTTTTGTTGATGCAGATATGGTCGATTTGGTTCTGTGTGGTGTGATCAGGTGAAGTCCATGTGGTTTTGTGTATGCGTTTATGTGGGAATATAGTCCCGCCTATGACCAGTTTATTGAAGGCACATAGATTTGCTAATCTCTCACCATTTTCGTTCCTTTCTCCCAGTCCGTGTCGTCCCATGATCTCTTCATATCCGGTGTTGTCAATTCCAACCTTGGCATTTAGGTCTCCCATCAGAATAGTCAGGTCTTTTGTTGGGCACTTCTCGACGATTGACTGCAGCCTATCGTAGAATTGATCTTTAGCGTCTTCATCGTAGTCATTGGTAGGCGCGTAGCATTGGATGACGTTCATTGTAATCCCCGTTTTCTTTGTTTTGAAGGAGGCTTTGATGATCCTTGGTCCATGAGATTCCCATCCTATAAGTGCATTTTGTGCTTGTTTGGACAGCATCAATGCAACTCCTTGTGTATGTGGGGCATTTTCTTGTTCATGTCCGGAGTATAACAGCAGCTCCCCTGAAGCTAGTCGTTGTTGTCCAACTTGCGTCCAATGTGTTTCACTGATCCCAAGCACCTCTAAATTGTATCTCCTCATTTCTGCAGCAATTTGGAAAACTCTCCCAGTCTCCCACATTGTGCGAGCATTCCATGTACCTAAATAAATGGTTGCTCTGGTTGTCAGAAGGGGCATCGGCCTCGTGACTTCCGAAGAAACTCGGCTTTCATCATGAGGCGTCATAATTCTTCTAAACGAAGACCTCCTGACTCCCAGGGCAGAGTTTAAATGGTTTGAATAATTTTTTCTGGTTAGCGTTTTTTTAGCGAGTTAGTTTTCTACGGGATGGGGTCGCTAACCCCATGCCCAACCCTCCTCCTTTATCCGGGCTTGGGACCGGCAGTAGCCCCCGGAAAGGGACTCCAGGCGGAGTTGAGAAACTTCATGGTGATTATTTTATTGGTTCGTAATAAAATAGGTTATTTAGTTCATATAATTCCTGAATACCTATTCAAAAATAATAAATGTTAAATATTGTATGAAGCACCACGGGGCATAAGTTACAACCTCATCCAATGTAGATGCTGCAGGTTTCTGATCGAAGATCTTAATAAGTAGTATTGAACACTACATTTAGGTAACTCTTGAATAATATGCAGCTTTCGTATATTACGGTATGAATAACATTGAACAAACCATTTGATTGTTTTGCAAGATTCACGAGGGAACACGTTTGTACTCATGCAATTCCTAAGTCGTTAATGTATCTGTACAGTGTCGTTAACCAAAATATATCCTTTTACGCCTAATTTAGAAAATGATTGTATTTTTCTCTTTTGTCACAGTCAATATGCAACCCGGAGAGTAACAAGGAATTCGATCCGTTATCTAATGTCCGATCTACAGGTGTTACAATCTCTTCTCCGAATCCACCCATCTACTTATCATCAGTCAACAGCTCAGATAACATTTCGAAATCAAAATCTTGTGTACGTGTAGATAATAGAGTGATTTTAGCATGATTTTCGTGGTGTTCAATTCACGTAAGACACATGACTGTGCTCCTCTGTATCATGGTTAACTTGCGACTAAAACCCGAAATCGGTCTCTCGTTGATCATGTCGATCTGGGTAACCGGAAATTACCAGCTAACCACACAACACAATTGAACTTAAGTTAAAATAATGAGTAAAATTTTGACATATGTTTTTCTTCACCCTATTTGCTTTTTCAAAACTCACCTCAATATTAGTGAAAGTTTTCACTTTGAAGTAGATCATGTCGCAAGCAATATATGGCAAATTTCTTGACGAGTATATTAGTCCCTTGAATTGAATATTGACTAATTTTATTATAACAATTGTTTACTAACAGGTAAACTGACCACAATATCATTAGGATATCACCTTATGCCCATTATATTTTACGTATAATGATCTTTAGATCCAATATATTCTCAGGATTTACTAGTGTAACTTTTAATGTAAGTGCCCATGAAAGCGGCAAAGCCTATGTGCAAATGCTGAACCAGAGTTAATCTCTACTAATCTATCAGATATCTTGTGCGGTTAAAACCACAAACTTAATCACACAAATTGTCTGCAAATAGTTAGATGTCAGAAATTGAATTAAATGAAGTAGATCGATTCACTAAGTTCTTCTTAATAAAACGAATATGATACATGGTATATATTTCCACCCACCACCTTCAAAATTATGTGTTGGTTAGTGAAGCAGTTGATTGAAAAAAGTTAAGAATTAGTGAGATTAAGATTTTCGGGTGTTCATGAATTCGTCGCATATTTTGGTAGAAGCTTTTTACTTGGTTTCTACATGCTTTCCAATATTTCTTTTACGTAATAGGATCTTAAATTATTTACAATTATCTACATACTTTCATTCCTTATAATCCTAAACACCTTAAACAAACCTCCCTGTTTAATTTACTACCATAATTGACATTGTTGTTTCGAATTCTTTCACTCAATTCCCTCTCTGAGATACACTTTTGAGTGTAGGGTTTATGTTTGTCGTTACTTTGATTCAATTATGCTCCCTACTTAATAAATATCAGTCTATCCAGTTTATTCACTGTTTACCTTTAGGAATTCTGCTCAGAAGTATTTCTATAATTAAATAATATTTTAAGGACTATGGATAGAGTCTTAAAATGAACACTTCAGCTTGATAACCTATTACTAGGTCAAACTAGATTTCCTTTTACGTTTTATATAAATATTTGACTAGACGTGTTCAACAAAATGATCGTTCCAACTAATTACAAGAGTTGAAAAAAATACAAAAGAGTACACTGAAGATCCAGTAATTGGATAAAATTGATAGAGTAACTTTACGTAGTTGTTTGAAAATAACAATCGAAACACAATATATTCGACGTGTATCACTAATGTATTTTAAAATATAATCTTGTTTACTTGTGGAATGATGGTAAAGATTGTCTCTTAGGTAGTGTGATTGCAGACCTGTATTTCTCATATTTTCATTCTGTAATCTTAATACATCATCAAACGGTTTATTTTCTTACTGATTAAACAAAAATATTTCAGTACTTTTGTGCATTAGGCACCTTGTTCTCATTTGATAAAATGTAACTTTTTGTATATTCTATAATAAACTACTAACTATTTCAGGAAAATTATATGGTTTCCAAATCAACTTTCTCAACGGCTGGAATGTTAGACAACGAGGGGCTAAATTCGACTAAAAAGTCTGCTGATCACGACCCTATAGATCTTCAAGCACCGTTTGAAAATAAGCTTGATACGATTGGCCAAGCACCTACTACATTTAGTCATTCTAATGCAGAAGCGGTTGTATCAGCGGTGCCTAATGTTAGTTCCACACTCTCCACTACGATACTGCCGTCTCAGGGTCAACCGTTGACACCAAATAGTCAGATATCATCATTTTATCAACAGCCTTCAGGACATCAAAACCATCTTTCCTCCCAATCTCAAGTACAACCCCCAATACCTATATCTCCTCAAAACTCAACACAACCTATAATTCATGGCAATGATGCTCTTAGGATGCCTAGCACATCCACTCCGATGTTACAACAGCATAGTACTCCGTCTTTCAGGGTATGTCATTTTAGTGTGTTTTGTGAACATCAAACTGATCATTTTAATTTGTAAACAATTATTTATTTATTTATTTATTTATTTGAACACATAAATATTGGTACAGGGGGGCACCAAATATATATGCGCCACACAAAACAGTGATAATTAGAAGAGAAGGAGAAAAGAGAAGAAAAAAAAAAGTAATGAACGTGGGGAATTATAAAAAAAAGAAGAGAGAGAGAGAGAACAATGGTGGGGGAAACGGAAAGGTACAATCAGAAGAGATCTTTCAGTTAAGGAAGAATACGACCACCTTTTTATGAAGAAAGTAAAAGAAGGTTACAGCAGGATCGCCACTGGCTTCTATTCTGAGCCATATCTGATAACGTCTCTAGCCACTGCGTTACACCATCTCTCGGACCCCAACCAGGGAGTCGTGAAGGACCAACATAAGCTAGCCCTTTGCAGCTTTCTTTCATACCACGACACCATGTCATATACTGACCACCTCTCCGCTTTTTCCAACCAGTCCCAGAGTCGGCAAATAATGCACGACGAGGAATTCTCTGGGACGACATTCGTAGAACATGTCCAAGCCACCGAAGTCGGTGTTTCAAGATGGTGACACCAATTTCATTATCGTCTCTGTGACCGAACACTCGATGCCGAACCTCTGCATTACTGACATGGTGTTGCCACTGGATGCCAGCAATCCTTCGGAGGCAACGATGATCAAACAAAGAGAGTCGTCTAACATCCTCAACTCGGAGAGGCCAGGTTTCACAAGCATAGAGCAAAACTGCTCTCACCGTCGCGTTGTAGATCCGACCTTTTACAGCCAGACTAACATCACGAAGGCGCCAAAGATGGCCCAGATTGGCATAAGCCGCTCTGGCTTTCACTATACGTGCATTGATCTCATCACTCACGCCACCACCAGCACTTATGCAGCTACCTAGATACACGAACTTCTCGACTACTTCTATCTGCTCACCATCCAGAGTGAGTACAGGATTAGAATCCTGCCAGTCTTGTAGAAGTACTTTGCACTTCGAAGGTGCAAAGCACATACCATACCTACGGACACTGATTGCCAACTGATTAAGTGCGGATTGCATGGCTTGGACATTCTCGCACAGTAAGACAATATCATCCGCATACTCAAGGTCGAGAAGTCTTTCTCCAGGCAACAGATCCACACCACCATTACTTACATCCGTCAGAGCTGTTTCCAGAATGTCATCGATGGCAAAGTTGAAGAGGAATGGTGAGATTGGGCAACCCTGCCTAACTCCACTGCGTGAATGGAATAGTGGAGAAAGGTGGTTGTATGCCCTCACTCTACCTGAGGTGTTTGTATATAAGGCTTTTAGGATGTTAATAAACTTCTCAGGCACACCCTTCTTCAATAGACAATCCCAGAGAACAGTTCTGTCCAACGAATCGAAGGCAGCCCTGATATCAAGAAACACTACGATTGTTGGCCTTTGATAAGTATGGCGGTGTTCTAACACTTGGCGGAGGGTGAAGATATGATCAATACATCCTCGACCAGAACGAAACCCAGCCTGCTCCTCGCGAGTCAATCCTTCTCGGGTTCTGAACAACCTACGAAGTATGACGGAAGCCAATAGCTTGGACGCAATCGGAAGTAGACTTATCCCCCGATAGTTGTTACAGGAACAACGTGAACCCTTTTTAAAGATAGGGACAACTATCGACTCATTCCATGACGTTGGTACACTCTCTAGTTCCCAGATCTTTGTAAACAACGTCGTCAGTCCTTTAGTCAGAAAGTCACCACCATCTTTAAAAAGAGCCGGGGGTAAGTCGTCTGGGCCTGGTTATTTGTAACGTTTCAAGAGTTGGAGTTCCTTGCGGACTTCCGCCTCATTTGGTGGATCAGTCGTCACCGGCCAAGGAGGGCAGGACAGTCTGACCGATGTTGCCGGAGCAGCAGGCCAGTTGAACTGCCCTTCAAAGAATTCTGCCCATCGTCCAAGACGTCGATGGATGTTAGTGATTGGCGTTCCGTCATCCTCGCAGATTGTTTCGCTCACACCAGACTTCTTGCTGCCGGTGGCTCGGATGAGTTGGAAGAGCTTCCGGTAATTACCAGATGCAGCTGCTGCTTCCAACTCACTGGCACGCTCCGACCACCAGGTTTCTCGGTCCTTACGCAAGCTTTGCCCGATTTCATTACGTAACAACCTTCGTCTGTGGTCAAACTCACGGTCACCCGGAGTAGACCGACGGGCTTCAATCAGTTGTAAGGAACCAGAAGAAACCCAGTGCTTGTAAGCGGGACGTTTCGCAATCCCACAGCTGACTTGACCCGCCATTTTCATGGCGTCATGCAATTGCAACCAATGCTCATCTATACTTTTCGGTGGAATAGTGGCTAGCCTAGAAGCTAGCTCGGCTCGGTACTTACTAGCAACAGAAGTTGCAGCCAGCTTGCTAACATCAATCCTGTGGTGGCGGTCACTTCGTTGTCCACTGAAAAGTAAGGTAAGATTGGCGCAGACCAGAGCATGATCAGATTCCAGATAGGTACTCCAAAAGGAGCGGCAGTCTTGTACACAACCGCGCCAGCGGTAGCTGATCGCGATGTGATCAATCTGAGTCCAGGCTTAAGATGCAGAAGGGGGACGCCAGGTGGCACATCGGCGATGACTGTGCCGAAAGTTAGTGCTAGCCAGAAACAGGTTGTGGTCTGTGCATAGTTGCAGTAGACGTTCCCCGTTATCTGTCCTGCGACCAACGAGTCCCCATCGGCCACCTAAACGACTCTCTTCTGTGCCTAGACGCCCGACCTGAGCATTCAAGTCTCCAGCTAGTACTACAATATCTGTCGAACGCACTTTCTGGAGAAGAACAGTTAGCTGATGGTAGAACTCATCCTTGATTGCATCCGGGCTGCAATCTGTCGGGGCATAGGCGGAGATGACGAAAAGACATCGTTTCTCACGCCGATTTCTTCTCACTCTGATGGTACTTTCTAATCTAACAGCACATAACCGACTGTTAATGGGGATCCAGTCGACTAGTGCTGCCTCAGCTCTTGCGCTTAGTGCGACACCAACGCCAGCAAGACCAGACGAAGATGCCACAGGGTCCCCGGATAAACGCACGTAAAACAAGCTTTTTGAAGCGACAGATGGAGAGCGAACTTGTAGTACTTCACCAGAGTCTTGAATACGGGTCTCGGATAGACAACACACATCAATATTAAGACTTTCCAAAGACATTGCCAGCCCTATCTGTTGTCCGACCTGCATAAGTGTGCGAACGTTAAAGGCAGCCAGTTTGAATGGTGCGCGTGGTTTCAGAAAGACTGCTTCAGTACTCGTATTCGATGGTAACATACAATTTTCAAACCAGGCAGTGACTCGAGAACGTTTAGATAAAGCTGAATTTTTACCATAGGCGAGCTGCTGTCTGAGTCGAAACGGATACAAAAAGTAGATATAGGAGATAGTGAGTAAATGACGTAGTAAATAATAATAATAATAATAATAATAATAATAATAATAATAATAATAGTATCAGTCATTTCAATGTTAGTCAGAGAAGAACGAATATTTTCCGTAAGCGAATATTTCATCATGTTTTGGTGTGTGGGCTGAGATACTGCCCGGGTGCCCAAACCGAAGCAGGTGTAAACAATTAAGCAAAAGGTTTTTCTGTTCAGACTTCTTTTTAAGAGGTCCTCAATGAAAATCCAGACTGGGGTGATTTAGTATTCACGGCGTCCGACTTCCAACCACTAAGTCGTAATTTCGAATTCCGCTGTGTAGTTCATTTTCGGCTGCCGGGTGGATTAGTATCAGTTACATAATTATTCTTACCATGCTGCTACCGTGTTTATAATTGTTTTACCACGTAAGGAGTATCAACGTCGAGATATTGCAATAATACAATTTTTCACCTAAATCCATAAAATTAAAGAAAATCAAATCATGTTTAGATCACTCTTGGTCATTCCATATCACACTCATATTGGCTTGAGATACAGTATGGAAAATATCAGTAACATAAAAATAAAACAATTAGCTAAACGAAAATAATTATTTCCTGATGTAATCTGACCTTTATGATCTAAATAGTATCTGAATAATTACGTGTTTAGTATTCCATTTTTTGTGACTCATCATAATTCTCTACATCTCACAGTCGTAATTCGGGATCTTGCTTTCACCATTTTGAGTGTGTAGACCTACTACTGCGGAAACCACAGCGATATTGACTGTTATCTGCAATTGTTATTATGTACGGAGTAGAAGTGTCAGGCTATATGTGTAGTCCAAATCATCTAGCTGTGTTCAAGGTGTCCACTATATTCCGTGCTGTTTCTGAAATGTAGAAGTCTTCATAATGTAGTCGTCAGTTGGCAGGAAGAGAAGAGTGGAGAGTAGTTAGTTTCGTTTGACACCAGTCTATATTTAGAATGGATTTGTGAGCTGCCCTCCATGCACGGCTTTCCAGTGTAGTCTTTCGTGTGGTAATGACGACACCATAGTGCCGAATAATACACCATTAAGTTTTTCTATCCATGCTGTCGAACGCTTCCTTACAATGGACGAAGTTGGTGTATAGTGATGAGTTCCGTCCAATTGATTGCTCAACAATGATTGGCAGTGTTGTGAATTGATCGGTATATGGTTGATCCTTATGCAAGTCAGCTTGTTGATTTGGAAGTTGGGCGTCTAATGAATTTTTCATCCGGTTCATTAACACAGTTGAAAACTGTGCTTGGTTCTGAAAGTGGTGTGGTACAGTTCTCCCACCTTTCTTTGGTGTATTGATGAGGTATTCGGTTTATTGGTACGTGTTCTTGCTCCCAACGCTTTAAGAAAAGAACGTCTAACACGTTTGCAGTTACCACTATATCTGACTTCAGCGCTTCAGTTGGTGTGCTGTCTGGTCCACTGCTTTGTAATTGTTGATTTGTCTGATTGATGGCTTTGCTGATTTCTTTAATTGGTCAGTACGGTAACATCGATAGGGAGGTTTGTGTGTTGCTTCGATGTCCGGTGGGTTCAATGTAGCCAGTCTATTCTGGAGCTCTTTAAAATGCTCTACCCACCAGTTCCCTTGCTTTTGAACGTCCATGATTGACTTTACTCATTCGTTCCTGACTGGTGGCTCTGGTCTACTATACTCTCGTTCTGGCTTCTTGGTTGTACCATGTAGTTGTCTTTCACTTTCTTCTCTAGCAGCCCTTTCTCCTGTCGTTTCTAGGTCTTTTATTTTCTTTCCATGACTAGCCATTTTTCTGCAGTGGGTTGTCTAATCCCTTCTGTACTGATATTGGGACTGAAAGTAGATCAGTCTTGAGTGCTGTTAGAGGTATGAGGGCGGTTATCACTTCCCGGTTCCCTACACCGTGGAAGGGTTCTGCTGGAGGTACCTGAAAAGGAAATTGGATTAGAGGTGGTCTTAGTGACCTGAGAGCGTGACCGCAGTGCCCAAGGGACAGCTGCTTGAGGTCGGTCACACACCACCTTTTTATGAGTAATTTTTGTGTTAGCACCGTACTTGTTGAGACCTTACCACCGGGGACGAATATCCGTGGGATAAGGCGAGGTGTGCATTTTTAGGGTCGACCTTCTCTAACCCTACTGCACCACTCCATGTGGGAAGGCAGCATCGCTGTCATGCTGGTTGTCTGAAGGAAACACCTTACTGCTGTCACACCTCTGTACAGTCAGCAGTACGACTTCGCCTTCGGACCTTGGTTTTGTTGCTTTTAGTCTTACCACTCTTCAACCGACCTGTCTGGCATGGTAGGAGCTTGAGGAACGGTTGTTCCAGCCAGCATAGCTCAGTTGCTTCATCACGATAGGCAAGCCCGACCACCACGTCAAGGTAGCAACAACGGTCAGGGAAAGTAGATATCAGTGGAATGAAATTGGGTTCAAATAGTCTTTGTCAACGGCTTCAACGAAAGAATGTGTACATCAGACTGACAAGCTGAAAATGAGTTAAATTGTAAATACGGTTTACGAAAAACAGACTTCCTCACTAATTAAACAAAAGTGAAATTTTGAATAAAGTTCAGGATTTAAAGAAATGCAGTTCAGATTCCTTAATACTAATTAAACATATGACCTTTCCGTATTTATTTATTATTAGTTATAAAGGTTTGTTTTTCATTATCAGCCTCCCGGTTTGGCAAACATGCCACCAAATATGGGTCCTTATGCTCGTCAAACTGGAACACCATCAAACACCAATAGACCTATGGGCATCCATGTAACTCCTCCAAATCCATCACCTAACATGTTTACACCTGTACTTCCACCGTGCGATCCTTCAGCTGGTTTAGGGGCACCACAGCGACCAATTATGCAGCCTCTTTCAGGTTGTCCTAGGAATTCTACGACACAAAGTTCAATGCAGTCCACGCCCATGATTCCACATGTGAGTTTTCTTGCCAAACTATTTGCCTTTATATTATCCTGTCCCGATCTCTGATTTATATTATCTTTTGAATAGAAGATTGTTTGTTATTCATATTTATTCATCGATGATGTGATAAATAAACTATCCGGCTTGTCTAATTCAGTAATTTAGTTAATGGATTGTAACATGGTTATGAAATATAACGTAAACATGTTAATACAGTTCCATTCTATTTATTTATTTGTTTTAACACATATTGGTACAAGGAGGCACCAAATACACAGGTCTCACTTGATATGTGTGAGGGCTGTGATACTGCCTGGGTGCCCAGACCGAAGCAGGTGGTTTTCTTAGGGAGCCACACACTAAGCCTTCGACCTAAAGATCTGATCCACAAGGCAGTGGAGCATCGTAAGAAGATGCAGTCCCATGGAAGCCGGTGACCAACGATTAGTTCATTCGCCATTTGTTCCTTCAGGATACTGGAGCCCATGTGCACCATTGGTTTGGGATCGGGTTAAAGCACCGGATAACACCCGTGATGCGAGAAGGCAGTGAGTAGGACTTCCCTGTCAGAGGCTGTATACGCGTGGCCATGTGAGAGCATTTCGAGAGGGAGAGCGGACTCTCCCCACTCTCGGCCATACCAGGGCATTTGAGGGCCATTTACGTCTTATAATAAAATGAAAGTGAGATTTTACTCGTATGGTTAGAAAATGAGAACTCATTGCTTGCAATCTATTTAATCGTCAGGTAAACTAAATATGTAGCAAGGAAAATAATCACCTTCCAGATTATTTTTTGAAGTGTCTTATTGATCTCAAGTTATTCCATAATTTAACTGATGGAGACTGCTACTTTTTCCATTTACTACGTCCAGTATAAGTATCGATGTTGTTTGTTTTCTAAAGCATTGTTTTACACTTTGTTCTTCCCAACAGGGTATGTCATATCCACCTATGTATCCTCCTCCAGTTCAAAGTATGAATCCTCCAACACGTCCCACGTGTCCTCCAATTCAAAATAGTTTTGTGACTGGTTCCTACAATTCAATGCATTCAAGTGCTGCCGTTCCCGTAACATCACCAACTACTTTATCAAAAGCGAGTCCGGCTCCTAATGAGACTCATTATTACACTCCATCCTATCCTAATTATCAACAATAATGCCTTATTTTTGCTCCAAGATGCTTACTGTTTAAGCTGATCTGTCATTCGATAGCTTCACATTGTGACGTGGCTTACAGTTATTTATAATTTTCCCAATTTTGCATCGAGTGCGCACACAGGTTGATTACTTTGGTGTATGGTTACATAAAATTTTGATTGCAAACTCCTTAAAAATGGTATTTTGAATTCAATTTGTTTCACACTTAGTTTCTTATTCATTTTGGTCAGTAATATGTAATAATCATGTTTTGTGGTTTTACTTCGTTTTTTACTGCAGTTTCGTATTGGTTATCACATTATCGAAGGGTGTATTTATCTCGGTCTGTCGTAATCCTCCTCCATTGTAACCACAAGGACCGACATTAAGAAGTTTTGTGTTACAGTAAACAAAATAGTTCTGCGATTTCTGGGATCCACTTCAGGAAATTTTTTTATTGTACTGGGATATGGACTTCAGTAGCTAAACAATGTATTGGAGAATATAATATATTCCTGGTAAAACTGTAAGAAATCAAAAGTTCCGTGTTTTGCAGATATTTCGTAGTAGTTCTATGACTTTAGTTGAAAGTCACTATAGCCTTTATAAATAGTCATGTTAGTGTTTTGGTTCTGCCTTTCTGAATTCACAGTTTCGATGTGTTACTAATTCTTTTGTTTTTAATACATATTTAATCTCGTAGAGTTTATATTACGCTTCGTAAAAAGTTACGCAGCATGCGCATGTAACCTGTCGAACTAATTTATGACAGTCATCGCATCTTTACCGAATAATCCCAGTATATATAAATTTAATCAACACTGGTGTTAGTTGTCGAAAAAACCGGTTACGTAAAAATATCGTCGACTTTTAAAAAAGTGCTGGTGTAAAAATATGATGTGTCAGATAAAGCTAACTGAGCAGAAATGCTATTATCAAAAGGACTGTCCCTGTTAGTAGCACTCATATGTGAACATTGTACATTTGGTTATAGTTGATAATACTAGCGCATATATATACATATAGGATGTAGTCGGCTTCTAATGTTTTGATGTTCCCAGCTTCAGCAAAATTGTGCGACCATTCATTGCCATCGATAATTCCTGTCGTGTAACCTAAATGGTTCAGTTCCACTGGTTTTCACCAAAGCAGTTTTACTCAAAGTTGGTGACTAATGAGCACGTGGCTATTGTTATTTGTTCAAAGATTGTAGATGCTGTTCATTTTGACGATAATTTACAACGATCGAATAAACTCTAGAGGTCCCATCCCAAAAATCACCCACTGAATTAAACGTAAGTTCGACTGACGAAACTCATAATCCGAAAACTCGTATCTTTAACCCGACTGCAGTTTAACCAGGTTGTGGTAGATTTCGAAACTTATGTGTGTTCTGAAGTAAATAAATTCCACCCAGATTATCGTGCTTCCTGGAGTTGACGTGAAAACAGTCCATGTAATGAATTTACCTCTGACACCACATTTTATTATCGATTTGAGCAAATACAGTAACAACTCACATCAGCTGAGATTGAAACATTTAACTGATATAATGCATACAATCAGCAAAAAACTAATCAATCAAACTGCTTTCTAAAAGCTGGTCTACATGTAGTTATTGCAGGATATGCAACCAAGTCCCGCTCTTCTTATATTACCAGGTCAACTTTTCCTGTGCAACTACTAACATTAGAGGTTCGTCAACGCGTTACATGTTCCAATATAGGGCTGGTGGAGATATTACCTTTTATTTTATCACATTCAGTTCACAGAACTACTACCCAGCCGTACTGTGCCAGAATTAATTTCTTACACGCAGCGGACTGCACAAATCAGCTCAATCTTTGTGTAGGAAGTAGGTTTGGCCAGCTCTTGCTTTCTCCTGGTCATGTACCTAATTGTGCAGTAGCATTGACGTTTTGCAACCTTATTTCTGTCCTTATGTAATCTGCTATTTCAATCAGTTTTTTCTGAACCAGATCTACTAACATGTATATACGAAGTATAATTAAAATCCAATATTAAGATACATTTTGTCGCTTAACTTGTTTTGTTACAATCTGAGTTCATATCTCAGTAGTTCTCAATAAGTTTCTAAAGTGTCACAAGTATAAGTAGAGGCGAAGACACCTATGCTTCAGTTCAGCCAAACAGAAGGACATGAAGTTATGCTTCGAACTAGGACTTCTATAATCCTGAATCGATAAAGGAAAGTTGGTAGGGCATACCAATTGTAGCAGTTCAAGTGGTAAACGCGATACTCACCAACACTCAGTTCACTGGGCCCCACAAAGCCGAATGTCAACGGACAGCACAACAGTTCACTGCAACTCACAACGGACGAGTTTGCTAACTGCCATACTTCTGGAAACCTCATCTTGTTTGCGATATTTTCTCTCACAGAGATAGACACGTCACCCACAAACTATATTCTTAACCAACTTGTCGTTGATTTCAATATTGTCAAATAACACGCTGAATAGTCAAGCTTTCAAAACGTCCAACACTACATGGTGAAGCCTCCCAGGTAGACGTCCGGATCCTTTCATCTCAGCTCACCCGGAAATCCGTACGCAAGATAGATAGAGCAATACGCAGACGAGTATTACAAATCAATTTTGGACTACCTAGGGAAGGTTCAGGTGATTAGCCTAACCTGTAGTTAATATGTTGGTATAGCACGACTGATAATCACCCTCGGTGGCGCTAGTTCATTGTTTTCCTCTTTACCCTCCACAAGTTATTTTATACATCACAAATCGATATTTATCCGAGTCGTGAATTCTATGACTAATTCTTCTTATGGTTACTACATATACTATTCTAGGGCTTGCCGTAACAATTACGTCACGCCCCTGACGGGGTATAACAATTACAGGTCCTATGTTGCGACTGAGTGATCCCTTTAAAGCACCTATTTATGTTTGAGCAAAGCAACAAAATAGATCCCAGTGCCACATATTGCAGCCACAAGTAATTAACGTGAGAGTCAGGTAAGCGTTGACCAGACTGTAATCTGCATTTAAGTCTAAATTGGAAAAAATTACTTTGACATCACACACACTGCTGTATTTTGTTCTCAATGACAAATTCAGAACTTGTAAAAAATCGGACCACAACTCAATTAACAGAGCGTAACACTACCTGACAGCTGAAATGTAGAAACAACATGTGAAAAACATGAGATTTATTAGACTGATTTTAAAACTATCGTTAGTTTATGCCTCTTCGTTTTCTTCTTCTTCGAATTCCCCTTCCTCTTCGGCTGTTGCATCTTGATATTGTTGATACTCGCTAACGAGATCGTTCATATTTGATTCTGCCTCTGTGAACTCCATTTCATCCATACCTTCACCGGTATACCAATGCAAAAAAGCCTTGCGTCGGAACATAGCAGTGAATTGCTCGCTAACACGCTTGAATAACTCCTGAATAGCAGTACTGTTCCCGATGAAAGTGACCGACATTTTCAAACCTCTTGGTGGAATGTCACACACAGCTGTCTTGACGTTATTAGGTATCCATTCGACGAAATAGCTCGAGTTTTTGTTCTGAACGTTAAGCATTTGTTCATCAACTTCTTTCATTGACATACGACCTCTAAACATTGCGGCGACTGTTAGATATCGTCCATGACGTGGATCGCAAGCGGCCATCATATTCTTTGCGTCAAACATTTGTTGAGTTAATTCAGGTACCGTAAGGGAACGATACTGCTGGCTACCACGGCTAGTAAGAGGAGCAAATCCAGGCATGAAAAAGTGTAGACGTGGGAATGGTACCATGTTTACGGCTAATTTTCTCAAATCAGCATTCAGCTGCCCGGGAAATCGAAGGCATGTTGTAACACCTGACATCGTCGCACTAACCAAGTGATTTAGATCACCATACGTTGGAGTGGTGAGCTTCAAAGTTCGGAAGCATATGTCATACAGTGCTTCATTGTCAATGCAGTATGTTTCATCAGTGTTTTCTACAAGCTGGTGAACTGAAAGAGTTGCGTTGTAAGGTTCCACAACAGTATCAGATACCTGAAAATAAGATTACAAATAATTGAGTTTACTTTAGGTGATGGAACGACTGAGAAGGTATTCATAATACGGTCTGGATACTCTTCACGGATTTTAGAAATAAGTAGTGTCCCCATTCCGGAACCAGTACCCCCTCCGAGAGAATGAGTTAGCTGGAAACCTTGAAGGCAATCACAGGATTCCGCCTCTTTGCGAACAACATCTAAGACGGAATCAACTAACTCAGCACCTTCGGTGTAGTGGCCTTTTGCCCAATTATTTCCAGCCCCACTTTGTCCAAAAACAAAATTATCTGGTCGGAACAATTGCCCAAATGGACCAGCACGCACGCTATCCATAGTCCCAGGTTCTAGGTCGACCAGAACAGCACGAGGTACATACTTTCCACCGGTTGCTTCATTGTAATATACATTTATGCGTTCTAGTTGTAGATCAGAATCCCCATGGTACGTCCCAGTTGGATCAATGCCGTGTTCATCTGATATTACTTCCCAAAACTAAAACCATGAATGAATTAAAATTTTAGTGTCATATCAACTTACCTTTGCGCCAATTTGATTGCCGCACTGACCAGTCTGAATGTGAACGATTTCGCGCATCCTAACGAAACAGACGAGACACTAAGACAAAAAGCGAGCCGGAAGTTTGAATGCAATAAGGTACCAGTGCCACCATACAATAATAGTTGTCATAGATACAATCAAAATTTAAAAATAAACAGTTAAAACAACTAAGAAAATTTTCTAGCACATCGATTACTACAAGATTTTTCAGCGTTATTTTCTTGGAAACTTCTGAAGGCTTTTTTAACGTTTCGCATCATCAGTAAGGGTACTGAAATCGAAGCCGAATTGAAGTGCTATTATATTCAATAAAATTTTACCGACTAAATTGTGAGTGTCACTCTAATGACTTACAGGATCACAAACATTCTTTTGTGTGCACTCTCAATATGTTTAAAAGCTTGGTAATAACTCAAACATTAGGATAACACCCTGAAATCGGAGACTCGATATAGCAGAGTGTACTGTAGTCACACCTTTTACACTTTGCGACTAGTCACATTCTAGAATTTGATGCCTGATGATCTAGTCCAAGAGGCTTCGTAGAAGTCTTTTAGTTATATTCTTAAGAAATAATGATGGTGTAGTGAACAAGAACACGAGTGGGGACAATGGAATGTCTTTAGCACAAAATTACCGAGCGTCTCACTAAAATCTGAGAATCATTTAGGAAATAGGTAATTTGCAAAATGTCGATCCATCGTCTTTGATGTAACTGTGTTTTGCAAATATCAGTCCACTATCTCAGATTTCATTGTTTATGCATTTTCATACCAATTGAGTTCTTTCCTTATTGATCTTCTACTGAAATACATTATATGCCTGACCACTGTTTTCGCCACTTATGTGGATATAAGTAACCCACATTACAATAGTATCCTAAGGTGATTCGCCAATTTTTTCTTTTTTATCGTCAGATATATCTAGGTTCTTAACTGAAGGCATCGATGTTTGACAGCAAACGCTGAAATAATAATTACATCTATTTTTGACATACTAGGCAGATATCTTCAGATCGACGAATTTTACAATAGTTTTTTTAACTTTTGGTCACACGGTTCGTGATAAATGTACTATCTTGATGATAAACAATCCGAAATAACCCAATCACTTTAGTATTCCGGAACTTCCCCAATTGAAATAAAACCGCTTGTGAGATGGTAAAACCGAAAACCACGCGAAATCAATTGGTTTACTTGTGAAATATCATGGAATATACTTTATATAGTAACATCTTCGTACTCATTGAACTTTCTACGTAAGTGCATTAGCTGATGTGAGAAAATGACCGTCAACAGCTCGCTTTGTCACCAACCAAAAATATTTTTAATTATCTTTTGATCGATGGATCTGAGACCACCAAAATGTATGAATCCATTAGGATAGAAATAATCTTTTCTTTAAAATTATCACTGATTTTAATCCGTCTACTTTATTTTAATTCCTTCGCACACTATTTCTGAATTCATACTTATTACCTTCCACATAAAATAAATGCACCACAAGATCCTTTGAATTGATCTATAACCTTCAGTCTTTTCCGGTAGGTGATTACATGAAGTTAGTTATATTAACATTTGTATAATGTTCCAGAAGTCAATGGTGAACAATATCTCTTCATAAACAATGTTATTCCATATGTCTAATAGCATGCGCATGTTGTTATTTGGAACATACATAATTCGGATATACTAAATGTTAAGGTAGAAAGGAAAGTTTTTCACTTGTGTTACTTTTTATTTAACATGATCAAAGCGGATTGATAAAAAGGCTTTTAACTGACAAACTTTTTCTAGGCTTTTTAGATCGAGATGGAATTATATTTAAGCCTTAGTAATTTGTAAGTGATCTGGTAGCGTACTATAATAAAAAATTTCATTCGCGACAGCTTAAAGTTGTGTGTAATGTTGGAATTTCAGTAATTTAAACCTAATAACATGTCGTCAAGCCAATCGCTCTGACTACGTTTCACCACGCCTGTAGGTCTTCTAGAGCTGCTGCCAGGTAAAGGAGAAGGGTTTGGTTCACTAATTTTGATAAAAACCATCTCCACATCAAACGTTAATCAGATTAAGCAAATTAAACCATTTAAATGTTCCCCTCCGAGTTGAAAGAATTATGACGCGTCATGATTATAAATATTGATAATATTGATATCAATATGTTTCCACATGAGCAGGTACACGTCATTTTTACGGGCATGATCTACAAATTACAACATTTGTTGGCTAACAACATCCTTCTCCATCTATTAAATTCATAGTTGTTATAAAGCAGACTATGACCTTGATGAGAAGCGTATGTCAAGTTTGTTCCGGACGTCAGAAGTCCCATAGCTGTGCCCTCAGAGCGGGATTTTGATGGAAGAAAAAAAGGAAACAAAAGAGCGGCAAGGCACTTGGATATGAACGCCAAACATTGCTTAACAATTTGTAGTAGAACAGACAGAGGTATAATAAATTAGATTAAATTCATACTATCTCTTGTTAGAGTGAAACGAAGTCAGAATGTAGTAATAAAGAATAATGAGTTGTGATGTTCAACAAGTTGGAGTAAGCTCACATGACGGAAGGGAAGTCAAAGTTGGTACGAGGAAAGCTGTTTATTAGTGGGGAGTGTGCATATGGAGGTTGAAGTGTTGAGAGTACTAATAACTATATCTTTTATTGTCTAATTTTTTCCTTCCTATTGTCCATCCGATGCCAGCCAAACAATCCTAGTGTAGAAGTCCGAGGTAGCATGCTATAGGTTGTCTTAGTAGAACAGCTAATCCGGTATAAAATTGGAAACATGAGTCTGAGTGTTGAGCGTAGGAAGACAATCTATATCACAGATTGATTGACTTATGCTCAATCATGGAGAGCCTGATATATACAAAATGTTCTGCCCCACAAACACGGGTGGATTGAAGTCATCGCCCTCACCATCAATGCTTGCAGGTCAGTAACTCCACCCCCCCTCCTTTTGTGATGTTAGGCTCATTTAAGCTTATTTTTGGATATATATAATACCTCACACAATCCTCTGTTTCACAATCTGTTGGAAAACAAGCTTATCAGGCAGTTACAAATTATGAACTGTGGGTAAGGCATCGATGCAGTGCGTTAATTAACTATAGTATAAAGTATTGTTTGCTAATCAGAGTATAAGCATTAAGAAGGGTATAACTTGGGATAGTTGTTTATCAAAGCGGGGGGAAAAGTATAGAAGTATATGGGTTGTAGAGGAGGTAACGAGTGGAGAAATAATATTAATTGCTAGTCAACATGGTGTGTAGAAGAGTAAAGAGCTGATAAGGAATAAACATGAAGAGACTCACACTAATTTGACGCTGATGTTATTTTGTGTTGTCCTAACCAGTTGATGGGTAACAGGCTCCATAGATGCAGTTCGATTGGTAATAGGCAGTCGATTGCGCGGTTCTCTTGACTTTTTAGGGTGGTAATGAGTGTCTCTTAGCGACCGAGTTTAGTTGATCAGTATCGATAAGTCCAGTGAGTTACCTATCTACTTTAAGTGGAGAAATAAGGTGGAAAAATTAACTAAAACAACTGCAAAGTAGGAAAAATAAGGTATACTGAGCTTGAAGTATATTTCGGTCTAGACATGTAGAGCCTATGATGTCTGGGTGGGGCACAGATGTGTTCGTACATGCTAGACCAGTGCAAATGAGCGCTTGATCAAGCAGTATTGCATACGTATGTAATTCATCTGCCATGCGTATTTTGGAGGGAAGACTGTCCCAAATTATTGCATACTTGATGAGGAAGAAGTTTTCCCGAGTTTTGGATCTGCATTTCTCAACTTTGACTGTAGATACTTTGTTTTGAAGTTCGCATTCGTGTAAATCTCGGGCAAAAACTATCTTATATGCTGATTGAGCAAGGTTTTTGAGTAGTTTGAAATAGAGAATCAAATAGGGCCTAAGCCTTCTCTTTGAAAGGGGTTCTATTCCTAAGATTTGACATCGGGAACTGTAGTCAATGACTGATACAGTCTTTAGTATTTTGCGGGTGAAGTCTCGTTGTATTCCTTCCACCCTTGGTATATCAGATAGGCGTAGGTTGGAAAGAAAGAACAAGCAGTATTCAGCGGTAGGTCTTACACAAACTTTGTAAAGAAGGACTATAGATGCATTTCGATAGAAATTACGGAAAATGAAGCCAAGCAATTTCCTCATTTTAGATGCTTTGGCTGAGATGTGTTCAGAGAAATTAAGGCTGTGTGAGTAATGTACCCCTAGGTCAGTTACTGATGCCAGTCTGGGCAGTGTGTTTTTGTGAAGTATGTGCCTTCAACAAAAAGATTATAGATGAAACCATATTTCTTCGACAAACTTATTCACAAAGCTACATGAGTATCACTGGGTTACAATACAGAGAACAAGATCGATCATGTTTTATCACTAAGAAATTCGGAAGATCCATTGAAGATGTGAAAACAGAGGAATATAATGGACACCTTGAACCCAGCTAGATGAATAGTGATGTCGACAGGTCTACCACCGACGGAGCATGCATTAGCACGAATGATGACATGTTGAAACTCAGCACCATCAATACGTCGACGGTAATAGACTCCCTCAGTAAACTCGGGTCTCCCAGCTCAAGGTCCTGCTAGCTAGTCACTTACTAAAAGCAGTTGGGAACATAAGAATACTACCCGACATACTGTATTCTGAGCGCAAGGTGTACCGAAAAACACTGACCCTAGTCAAGCAAACTCTGACATTAGGGAATGGAAATTCATCAAACGGTCCTTGAGGCTCAAAAACATACTGACTCAACATGTGATGAGACTAGCCAAGAAACGGTGATTTTAGACCCCGGCTAATGAGGATAACCTTCCCATCCTCCCATATGGCGGTTGCAGCTCTGGAAGCATTTCGTGCCAACAGCCGTCGGTTGCCAACAGGTATCCATATGCACCCGTACAGGTCACATGACGCCAGAATCAGACACAAAGGCAAGTTGGAGCTGACCATTCTACTTGTGGACTGTCTTGATGATAAAAAACGTGTAAAGGACAGGGTCCAC